GACAGATCACCTGAAATTGACGAAGGCACTAGAAAAGACAATGGCAGAAACAGCCCTGTCTGACCCTGCTCATTAACGAGAGGAGGTTAGTGCCAAACTTGAGAGAGCTGTCTCACGGACTAATCAAACAACAGTCATACTCATGGAATCATACCTCCTAGACGCCACCATCACTATCCCTGGATACATCCTGGTCCACTGACGGGAAAGACCCACCAGAGATGATGGCACTGTGGCATACGTTTGGGAGGGAGTTGCCCTGGAAGTCCTCAACATTAACTCTCACCCCATGAAGTCTCATGCCATCAGGTTAGGCTCACAATGGCAAGTAATATTTGCACCACACAAATGCCAAGCTATGACCATCTAACAATAAGAGATTATGAAACCACTGCCCCTTCACATTCTATGATGTTACCATAACTGAATCTCCCACTGTCAACATTCTGGGGTTTACCAATCACCAGAAACTCAACTGGACTTACCACATAAACACTGGTTAGAAGAGCAGGTCAGAGACTAGGAATACTGCGATGAGCAACTCATCTTCTGACTCCCTAGGAATTGTCCACCATCTACAAGGCACAAGTCAGGAGTGTGATAGAATACTCCTCACTTGCCTGGATGGGTGCAGCTCCAAAAATACTCGAGATTTGCCACCGTACCGGATAAAGCAACCCACTTGATTCACATCACATTCACAAGCATCCATTGCCTCCACCACCAACGCTCAGTAGCAGCAGTGTATACTATCTACAAGACGCACTGCAGGAAGACCCTTGGACCGCACCTTCTGAACCCACAACCATGTCCATCCAGAAGGACAAGGGCAGTAGATACATGGGAGCACCATCACCTTCAAGTGCCTCTCTAAGCCACCACCATCCTGACTTGGAAATATATTGCTGTTCCTTCACTGTTGCTGGGTCAAAAATCCTGGAATTCCCTCCCTACTGGCATTGTGGGTCAACCCACATCAGGTGCGCTGCAGCAGTTCAAGAAGGCAGCTCACCCCGACCTTCTGAAGGGCAACTAGGGATGGGCAAGAAATGCTGGCCCAGCCAGCAATGCCCACATCCCTCGAGTGAATCAAAAATATTCGGCAGTTCTGGCAGCTCCTGTGGAGGGAGAATCAGAGTTAACATTTTTTTGAGTCCTGTATGACTGTTCTTCAGAACTCTGTGTTTGTTTCTTTGTGAGCCATTGTAATTTTTGTTGCTTTGATTTGAAGCAGCAATGGGAGGGGTGGAAAATGCAGCTTCACACATTGCTACCGCAACCATGCACTTCGCAACATGATTGCGTGCCGATAAATGATTGAATAGGAATCAGAGAACACAGCAAAGGGGTGCAATAATAACCCTCTGTGGGACAGGGGATCTTCTGACTTCATTTTGTGCAAACCTTTCCCTTCACATCATTGTTGCTACAGGTGATTAAATCCGCCTCTTTGACTTGCATTAGTGATGTTAGATTAGTGGAAATCCTCATGCAACTTCCCTCTGTTGTGAGTTAGTTTGTTCTGTAAAGAGACAGTTAGTGTTGAGATGTTGCTGAGTTTCAGAGTGTACTCATTACAGTCAAATGCTCAGCCTGCCCAGGAGTGTCAGTGTACAAGTGATATTTTGTGATAACGCATATTTTGCATTAAACACTCTATTTGGGTCAATTTATCTTTTAGGTCTTCACAGACTGTAAACTTTCTTGTTGTTTTGTTTCTGGGGTTCTACGTCTCTGATTTTGAAGGCTGTGTTATAGAGCTCCCTTTTGGAGCTTTGCACTGCAAACTGTGAGGCATTGTTAACATCACCAGCAACAGCTTAGAAGACAGAAACATTAAAGTTCATAACCATGGTTACCTTCACAGTCAATGATAAAGCCATACTTGCGCTGAGGTTAGAGTTAAGGCTGAATAATTGGCGGGTTTCAGTGACAAGTTCCACCGTGAAACATGGGCCCAAATATTAGTCATTTCTGTACAGGCAGAATTACTCCTGAGACTTAACATGATCTTTTTGTTGAGAGAGCCCTTTTCCCATTTCTCCACCCTTTTTCAGCAGCTGCATCACCTCTGCTCATTATAAGAACACATTTAACTTTTAAAAAAAAAAATAGACAAAATGGAAAAGTGAAGTAAGCCAATCATAAAGATTGGGATAAAATAGTAAAAAAGAGAGGAAAGGGTGAAGTGAGGAGCCTGAGATACACAATGGGAGTCACCCCTATTCGTCCACCCGATAGAGATGGTGAGGTTCACCTTTCAGATACCTCAATGGCCCACAGTTTACGAAAGGAGCAAGAGAGGAAACAGGATTATGGACCTGTCAGCCTTACTTCAGTAGTCAGGAAAATGCTAGAATCAATTATAAAGGACATAATAAATGGACGCTTGTATAAAAATGATCTGATTGGGCATAGTCAACATGGATTGGTAAAGGGACTTCATAGAATCTTCATAGGTCATCATAGAATCTCTACAGTGTGAAAACAGGCCCTTCGGCCCAACAAGTCCACACCGACCCTCAGAGCATCCCACCCAGACCCATCCCTCATAACCCCACCTAATCTACACATCCCTGAACACTATGGGCGATTTAGCATGTCCAACCCACCTAGCCTGCACATCTTTGGACTGTGGGAGGAAACCGGAGCACCCGGAGGAAACCCACGCAGACACAGGGAGAACATGCAAACTCCACACAGACAGTCGCCCAAGACTTGTTGGAGTTCCTTGAGGGTTCTCCTAACACAAGCAACAAAAGGCAGTCAACGGACATAGAATACTTAAATTTTTAGAAGATTCTTGATGTCCTCCACAGGTGGTTGGTTTGCAGAATTAAAGCAGATGGAATAGGCGGTAATGTTCTGGAATGGATTAAGGTTAGCTAACTAATAGAAAACAGAGTAGGAATGTATGGATCATTCTTGCTTTGGCAGACCAGTGAGGTATCATAAGGATCAGTACTGGAGTCCCAGTTGTTCACAATGTATCTCAGTGATTTGTATATGGGGGACCAAATTTGGAGATGATACAAAGCTAAGCAGGAATGTGTGTTGTGCTAAGGAAAGAGATGGGACTTGTTTTACAAATCTTCTAACTGTGGTTGCAGCTGCACATTGAGTGGACATATTGAATCTGATTGTTTCGAATTCCCTAGATTCTAGGGCAGTTTGCAAACATTAAAAGGTAGTGAATGTAACTTCAGTATTTAAGAAAGGAGGAACTGATGAAACAGGAAACTATAAGGTGGTCAGCCTAACGTAAGCAGCATGCAGAATATTATATACTTTAATTAAGGATATGGTAATGGTGGGGGGGGGCACTGAAAGAATCTTTAAGCAGAGTACACAGTGATCTATGACAGGAGAAATTGTATTCGACAAACTCTTGATTAAAGTACTTTTTGAGGATGTAATCAGTAAGATTGATGAAGGAACACGTAACGAGTTATAATCTTTGCGTTTTAAAAAGCAGTTACTACACAGAATTAGGACATTTTACACTGCGGGTAATAGAATAACAAGAGCTGAGGACGGATTAGTAGACCAGAAGCAGTACTTGGTCCTCACTGTTTTCCCTCTACCATTTCTATTAGTGATGTAGATCAGGGGCCTGAGTAGCATTCTCAAATTTGCCAATGATATAAAGTTAAGTAGGAAAGTAACGGGTGAGGAAACAGAAAAAGGCTGCAGAAGGTTATAAACATAAGGCGAATGGACAAGGATGGAATATAATAACACTAATCTACTCTGGTGGGAAAAAGCATCATATTTTTGAACGATGAGACTTTGGGAAAAGTTGTATTCAGAGGGAGTTAGGTGTCCTTGTACATGAATCACAGTAAGCTGAAGTGCAGCTACGGCAAGGAATTAGGAAAATAAGTAGAATGCTAGCTTTTGTTCCAAAGAGATTGGAGTACAAGAACTAATGAGTTTCACTACATGAGGTGCTTATTGAATGGGGGGCAGAACAGGTTTGAGGGGCTGAACGGCCTCCACCTGTTCCTATGATGAGACCACATCTGGAGTATGATGTGTAGTTTCTGGTCCTTTTTTTTGAGGTAATGACGTAACTTGCCCAAGAGGGAGTGCATTGCACGTTCACTAAGCTAATTGTTAGGGTGAGTGGAGCTGGTCTACATTCCCTGGAGTTTAGCAAAACATGAACTGATTTTCCTGAAACATAAGGGGTCCTTCTTAAGGGGCTCAACAGAGTAGATGCTGAGTAAGTGTTTCTGCTGGTTGGAGAGCTTAGAATGTAGTACACAACCTAAGAATGAGGGTTTGACTGTTTATAAAAAGTAATTTTTTTACTCTGAGTCATAATCTTTGGAATTGTCTACCTGAGAGAGGATGCTCAATGGTTGATTGTTTTAAAGATAAAGGTCAATGTATTTTTGGTGTTAAGGGAATTAAGGGAATCACTGTAGGAAGGTGAATTTGAGGTAATAGATTTTATTGAATGGCGGAGCAGGCCACGTGGTCTGCTCCTAGTTCATAGATGTGCACTGGATATTGCAATGACCCTTTCAACCTCGCATGTCTGGAACAGTGCTCTCCTTTGGAGAGAGTGCTCAGAATTGGAAACAGTGCAGCCATAGCGATAGCCAGTTAAATCAGTGGCAGTGTGTTGGCCTACTCTTGTTCCTATGTAAGATGTGGTTTAAGTGGTGCTTTCTATGACCAGATAGATTTGATGGACATTATTCCTATGACAGTCATTTTAACATGAATGAAATGCATGAAATGAAATAATCCAATATTTCTCTCCCCAGCCTTATCAATATACTTAGTGTTGAATCTTTGGACTGGGAGGCCATTGATTTACAAGTTTGTTGTTCTGAGGAAGGGTCACCGGACCCGAAATATTAACTCTGTTTTTTCCTTCAGACCTGCTGATCTTTTCCAGCAACTTTGTTTTTGTTCCTGATTTACAGCATCTGCAGTTTTTTCGGTTTTTACAAATTTGTGATGATTGATTTTGTTTGGCTTTTCCCCAGGGTCAAGTGTGGATTAACGGCTTTAACTTGGGTCGTTACTGGCCAGCCAGGGGACCCCAAATCACTCTGTACGTTCCTGCTCATATTCTTAGCACCTCCGCAGTGAACAACATCACGGTGCTGGAGCTGGAGAATGCACCGTGTGGGATTGAGCTAAACGCAGTCTGTGCTGTGGAATTTGTGGACACTCCTGTTTTGAATGGAACCACAGCTTACACCAACTTTCACAGTAGAGCTTTTAATAAGCAGTCTTGGCATGAATGACCTGAATGGTTAATGTGTTGCTGATCTGGCGACCTGCCTTTGTATGTGAGGATGACTATTGAGTACTGAAGTCTTTTTCCCCTTTTCAACTGAAGCTAATACTGTTCTATCACTTCCTTTGCCTTACTGAAGCAAGTTGATAAATAACCAGTGTTGCAACCATGGAACCATCTTGGGCTTGTGTGGAAGAAATAACACCATGAAGTAGAGATTCATTTGCACAGATCAACAAGTTTTCCCACTGCCCTCAAAACTGGTTAAAAGCCCTAAAGAGCCTTTGACAGTTTTTCACTGAAGAAATAAATAAAATGTTTAACAACATTGAATGGTCAAGAAATGAAACTGAGTCTGTGGGGTGACCACAGTTGCGTTGATTAGATTACTACTTACTTTTGTTTGATGTAATGCAAGGTTTGGAAAACAAATCAGGGCATGTTGTAACATTATTAATGAATGTAAATAATAAATTCTGACTACTATCAGATTTCCTGTTATATTGCAAATGCAACAATAAAGACTGAAACCATTTTAATTTATTCTCTTTATTCATTTACCTAAGCAATTTTGAAAGTCAGAATGAAACAGTTTGGGCTTTGCTGGGCTTCCTCTAGGGCACTGCACATCCACGGCTATCATACTATTCATTCTGCATGAGATGTTGGGACTGTAGACAGAACCTGCATCCACAGCATTGGATAAACTGCAGCCTTAGGCTTATCCCAACTGCTGTAAAGTTCAGAGACATAGTGACACATGTTCCACCCGCCTGCTGTGTTTCAGTCTCAGAAGAATCAAGATCTTGATTAACAGTGCAGAAAAAACTCTTACACACCATTTAAAGTTTTGCACCCCATTATTCTCAGTAGATTCTCAGACATCATCATATTTGGCTGGCTGTGGGCAGCAAGGTTGCTGTGCAATTTCCCTGAATCATCATTCTAAGTCCCATCTCTGCTCTGAACTTTCACTTGTCAATACATTGAACACCAGAGATTTTATTTTTTGTTTTTAGAGAAATGGATTTTCCCAAATTCACTCTTACTTGTGCTTCATAACGCAGGATATGAGGAAACAAAAGAAGTAACCTTGGGGTAACGTGTGAGGAAGTACACAGTGTTTTATTGAATATCACATAGCCAAAAGAGCAGGTATATGAGAAACAGCATCACTTTCCGTCATACCTGAAAAACTGTGCATTCCACCCACCCTGCTGACATCACAACCATCAGAGAGTGTGATGATTATAACCTCGCAGGCTGTAATATCTTTTGGGGAGGGCAGAAATGCACGGAAACAAAGAAGAGGAACAAATAAACACAAATGATCTTGGTGGAAATAAAAAAGACTTCAATGACACTGATCATGCTAAGGTAATCTGTGGATTGAGTGAATGAAGAGCAAAAGATGCCAAACTCAGCTATGTGTTACCTGCAGTACTGTTGGTAGTTAGGTAGGATATACAGCAAGGGGTGTTTGAATGTAATGATGAAGGAAGCAGTTAGCAAGGACAAAGCACTGGTTAGAGATTTCAATTTCCTCACTTCCTGGAGGAAGCGAAGCTAAAAGTCAATGGATTTGCAGAAAGTATTCGGGCAATTTCCACGACGATTCATTTTAGAACTGGTGGGTATGGGTCTTACTAGATATAGCAGTAACTAAAGTTATTTAACCTGGAGATAACAAGAACTGCAGGTGCTGAGCCCCCTTCCCCCTCCCCAGTCCTGATGAAGGATGTAAACCAGAAATGTCAACTTTCCTGCTCCTCTGATGCACCTGACTTATTTAGCCTGGTGTCAGCTGTGGTTCAGTTGGTACTACTCTCTCTTCTGACTCACAAAGTTCCAGGTTCAAATCCCACTTGAAGGCTGGAATATGAAGGTCGAGGCTGACACTCCAATGCAACACAAAGAGAGTGCTGCCATCAGAGATGGCATCTTTCAGATGAGATGTTAAACAAAGGCTTCAGTTGTCCTTCCAAATTGATGTAAAAGATCCCATGCATTATTTTCAAGAAGAGCCAGAGGAATTATCCCCAGTGTCTTCACCATATTTATCTCTCAGCAAATATGTCAAAAAATGATTATCTGCCCATCATCACGTAGCTTACATGTGGGAACTTGCTGTGCGCAAATTGACTCGTGCATTCAAAAAGTAATTAATTGGCTGTTAAGTGCTTTCATACAGCTGACAATCATAAAGATGCTATAGATGCAAGACTGGCTTTCTTTAGCCATCTGACAGTGAGAGAACATCACGCAAATACACCCCAGAACGAGTGAATTTGATATCAAGCTTGAGAGGGAGAAGGAAGGTTTACACACAAAGTCAAAACTTAAGTAAGGCACACTTTGAAGGGATGAGTAATCAATTAACCACAGTAGGGGTGAACAATGCTGTAATGAGTAATTTGCAGTTCAACAATGGGAAGTATTCAAAGAATTAGTTAAACAAATATAAAGAATTTAGATGAAGAACCAGTGTGACACTAAGGGGCAAAAGTAGCACAGAATTTAATTGTTGCTGAAAAAGGAAACGTGTTATTAAAACTTTGTGTCCTGCACTTGACAAGACAAATGCAAGACACCAAATTTCAAATCATCATCATAATGTATACTACAGGAGAAAAGGGTGCTTTCTGCTTTTTGAATGACCTAGGAATTTAGAATGCCAGTTGCTTTTTCCATGGCAAGGCCTTAGCTAATCATAGAAACATAGAAAATAGATGCAGGCATAGACCACTCGGCCCTTTGAGCCTGTTCCTCTATTAAATATGATCATGGCTGTTCATCCAACTCAGTATCCTGAAGTAGGGTCCCAACAAGGCCATGGGCCAGATGCTGGAAAATGGGATTAGCATAGTTAGAGATAGTAGGAACTGCCGACGCTGGAGAATCTGGGATAACAAGGTGTAGAGCTGGATGAACACAGCAGGCCAAGCAGCATCAGAGGAGCAGGAAAGCTGACGTTTCGGGTCTGGTCCCTTCCAGACCTGAAACGCCAGCTTTCCTGCTCCTCTGATGCTGCCTGGCCTACTGTGTTCCTCCAGCTCCACACTGTGTTATCTTAGTATCCTGTTCCTGCTTTCTCCCTATAACATTGATCCCTTTAGCCCTAAGAACTACTATCTAATTCCTTCTTGAAAACATTCACTGATTTGTCCTCAACCACTTTCTGTCTCAATCTGAAAGAACTTGAAAAGTTACGGCAACATGTCCTATTCAGTTGCACTACTGGGCAAAAGTTCTATCTGTGTAGCTAATGTACTGCAGTTGATAATTTGGAAAAAGACCGTATCATGTTAAAGTAAAAGGGTCACACAACTGGAAGAGAAGATAGAAATCCTGTTGGCTGAGTGAGCTTTGCAATGAAACTACAAATGGCTACAAAGAAGGTGATAAGAAAATGAATAGGAAAGACCCTGAGAAATGATTTTCTCAAACTGGGGTGACCCCTTGACAAAGAGGGCGCAATCCTAAAATCTTAGCTATGTCATTGGGAGTAGAATCCAAGAATACCTCTTTACAGAAAACATGGTGAAAATCTGAAACTCTCCTCTAGAAGGATGCTATAGGTTCAATCGATTGAAATATTCAGACAATAGTAAGGCTCCCGAGAGATATGGAATAAACATGGCAAAATAGGATTGTCAGAAGCGTGCAGCTACGTGCTAAATTGCCTGATTTGGTTTTCAATAACTAATTTTGCTGAATGTCTATAGGAGAAATTTAACTGTCTCTGTGTTGCTTCTTATCAGATAAGATCTGTTCACTGACAGTGTGCACCAGAAGCAATTCCTGTGAGTTTGTGCCCTTGTTAACATCACAAAGCTCTCTGGCATTAATTCTATCAAGCTGATGTTACACCTGATAAAACTACAGACATGTGGTTTAAGAAGAAGTTAATTAGTTACATTTTGTGCACTTGTACAAAAGACATTCTCACTGAAGTGAAAGTTCTGTTTTTAATGGACAAATTTTCCCCACAAAGAAGAAATGAATGGGAAAATATTGCGCAGGTTTACCTTGAAAGTCACCATGATGAAGGGCCTAGGCCCGAAACGTCAGCCTTCCTGATCCTATGATGCTGCTTGACCTGCTGTGTTCATCCAGCTCTGCACCTTGTTGTCTCAGATTTTCCAGCATCTGCAGTTCCTACTATCTATGATCCCACTCTCTCTCATTGGAGAGAGAGAGGACTGGTGGTGGCTTAATCTGAGGGTCACCACACCTCAGGCGAGGGATGAGGTAGAGAAAGAGAGTCCTTCATGGTAAGCTCAAACAGGAAATAGCACACTTTTCCAGAAATTGGGGAAAACCTCCCCTTCTGAGGAAAGGTCACTGGAGCCCAACATTAACTCTGATTTCTCTCCACAGATGCTGCCAGACCTGCTGAGCTTTCCCAGCAATTTCTGTACTTCTTTTCCCTTCTGCTATGCCTGAATCCAGACACTTGAGAATTACCCTCCCTGAATCCAATTGACTTTAATTTTACTCATGCTCCTACTAACTCTACATGATTGCTCAAAACACAAAGTCCAACCCTTCTCAACCAGAGTCATAAAGGAACAGGTGGCTGGAAGAACACAGTAAGCCAGGCAGCATCTGGATGAAAGAAGCAGTCAACATTTCGGGTATTACCCTTCTTCCATTGACTGCTCCTTTCTTCAGATACTGCCTGGCTTGCTGTGTTCTTCCAGCCTTCTGTTTGTCTACCTCAGATTCCTGCATCAGCAGTTTTTTTTCTCTCTCTAATAAAGGAACAGGTTACTGAAGATGGAAAGAAAAATCAGAAGCATAGATAGCTTAGTGGATCAGGCAGACAGATATCAAACGTCATTAAATCTGTTGAGTAATGCATTTGAGAACACAAAAAGAGAGTGGGAATGTAGACTGAACAGAGGCCTAGGAGTTCAGTGATTAGAAGTAATGAGAAAAGACAGCAGCCTCTTGGATTTTATGAAAAGAAGTGTAGATTCAATTTTTAATTCATTCATGGGAATTTGTGGGTGTCGCTGACAAGGCCAACATTTATTGCCCCCATCCCTAATTTCCCAAAGCGCAGTTAGGAGTCACATTGCTATGGTCTGGAGTCATGTGTAGGCCTGATTACTTTCTGAGATTTTCCAAATTGCATCAACCAAGTGCTCATGAGCCTGTTTGGAGTTGTAAAGTCCTGGTGGGACTAAGATGGAGAATCAGTGAGATGCTTATTAGTCAGTGCTAATTGACATTTCAAAAGGAGAGCTTGAAGTGTTGTAATGGTGGTGACAGTGCCAAAACATTTCGACTGAGAGAAGCATCTAATTATAACATATTACAAAATTTCACAGACTTGTAAATAGGAATTTATAACAGGAAAACTTTCAGTGATTGTATACAGATTTTTGTTATGCTAATTTGGTTTAAACAGCTGAATTCAGAGACCATACTGAGACTATCAGAACACACAATGAGGCTTGGCTGAGCATCCAGATATCCACTACACTTTTGAAATACCTGAGCCCCTGGTTGATTGTCTGGCCTTTGCTGTCAA